CTAATCAGTCATGAATCGAAAGAAATATAATCGCCCAAGTGTGTATCACTCATGGCACTTGACTGTCTGATTCACTGACTAACTGATTCTTGTGTACCAAAAGTGTCAATTCAATACAAAAAAAGTTTTTCTTACAATAATTCCCCTACCACCACCACCACCCCAGACATGCACAATATTTATTTCCAACGTTTATTATTTTTTAAATAGTTTCATCCGCGATACGATTATTTAGTTCCAAGAAACAAAAATTAGGGACCGTTTATTTGAACCAGTACACTTATTCTATGTTGAAATATTCTAACCAGCTTGAAATATTCTCACCGGATGACACTTGTATTTTGTAGAAAAGTAAGGATTTTTGTGTACTGATTTCTCTGTTTCACCCAATATTTACTATGAATGAATAATGATAAATATGGCAGTATTTATTTAGACATCTGTACAGTACACCGTGTACACACTACTGTACACACTTTATTCAGACGAATATCTTCTTTGTTGCCCGTGTGTTAGTATGTTCTTTGAACGTAAATTAAATCGATCTTGATCATAATTAATCATATCAGTATCTTTATCATTGTTGCTTTTATCCCATTATGGTTGAGATACGAAAATGTAAACAACAAATTTAAAATAATAATAAAATTCTTTTTAAAATCCAAATATTTTTCGTTGTCTATTAGTAACTGTTGTAGTATAAATCGTAACCGCCCCTAAATTAGCTATACCCCGGCAGATACTCTATCATAAAGACTTTAAGTTACCTCCCCTTCCCGTTAAGAAACCGCCATATTCATTCGAACGTCACGTATGTATTTGTTTGAAAACCTATACAAATGGTTATTAAGTGTTGTTATCTTATTCTACTACATCTTATCGCAACAATTTTAATAGCAAACAAATCGTCAAAATGGACAGATTACTGCGCCCAGAACGATTCGATATCGAACCTACACCTCCCAACTCGTAAAAAAAAAAAACTATATCACTGGAAACTTTACCAATTATCTACGCAACAACGTAGTAAAAAATAACGAGAACTTTTTCACTTTAATTATTTGAAAAAATAATCGACGCCAACTCTGAAATAATAAGCGACTTTAATTCTTTCCTGAAGGCACTCGATGTTGCGCACGTCAAACAAACTTGTCTACAATCGACACCTGCTCATTGCACTTAAACAGCAACCAGTCTCACTCTAAACAATAGATAATTTTATGCAATGGTTGGAAAACCTGGCGAAAGAAAACATGCAACTTTGAAGCTGTAACGGCCGAGGAAAACAATAAAACAATACGTGCAAGATGCATTTTTATCAATGGTGTCACTTCCCCATCAATTCGACAACGGTTGCTAGAAAAATCTTCACTAACACCACAAGAAGTATATGAGAAATACACAACTTCGGTTGACAAAACAAGAAAATTAAATTATTAAACATATATATATATATATATATATATATATATATATATATATATATATAGGAAATATTGTCCGCGTATTGCTTCTTTGATATTTTCTATCTTTTTCGTGCCTCAATTTAATCAAAACCCTATTAATATATATAATAAATATCATCAATCTTATTGCCAATATTGTTATCATTATTTTGTCTTTTTATTCCTAAAATTTCATTAACCGTCCTATTAAATCTACATGTAGATTGAATATATATATATATATATATATATATATATATATATATAAATTCAAGAATAACATGAGTTTAATATGTAATAATTTCCATTACAAACTACGTTTTAAACAATATATTACACAGAAGGATATATCATATATGCAAATCAAGCATTTGTTAAAAATCTCTTCGGCAGGTTATTCAAAATGCTGATATCTGAATATATTACAAAAGTTTTCCTACCTTTAAAGGAAAATGCAAATGTTGTTTGTAGCAAAGATTATAATGAAATTAAATGCTGTTATGAACAATACACATACCAAAACTTTATTTACTTTGATTAAACTGTTAACGAACCGTGTATACAATAAATACAGAAAAATAAAGTCTTTAGTTTTACATATCAAAAATGTAGTCTGAAAGGAGTGTTGAAAAGTTGACTTGTCTCATTGACAGAAGTCGATATGGTAAAATGATTACATCATTGATAGTTTTTATACCCGTCACACAGAACTGTTAATAAATGTTTCTTGGCGCTACTTTTTTAATCTGGGAAATAAAAAAAAAAACATTCTATACTTGAAATCTAGCAGGAATTTTTCTCGTTATTAGTTCTTATAAATGTAAGAATGTGAAAGTAAATACTGTTACGGACTTTCTAAAAAAAACACATATTTTAAATACAAAATTATAAACAACGTGAAGAAATGATCTTCGCAGAAAAGGAAGAAGACCAAGTTAAATATGACCATAACATTTATACAGTAGATACAAGTATTTACATATTAGAATTCAGTTGGTTTTTTTTTGTTGTGATCATGCAGAGACCATTAGTTAGAGTGTTCAAAGTGAATTGTTGCATGTGAGTCTGCAAAGTTCGAAATTATTTTATTGTGAGTCTGTAAAGTTCGAAATTATTTTGTTGCAAGTGAGTCTGCAAAGTTCGAAATTATATGTACACCAGTATGTGTGTTTGAAGCACACGCTAAATAAACATGTCTGTGATTGCTGGCTGATGGCATGCGTTAACAGTAATTTTAAATCACAGTTAACAAAGAGAGTTCAAACAAGACTTACTTCGCTCCGGCTTTTTATGTAGGAAAATCAGACTGTTTCTCTGACAGTTCCGTTTCGCAGATCTGTCCGTTGACTGTCCTTTTTTAGAGTTGGTCCTGAGAGTTGCTGACAAATCGTCTATATGGTTTTGTGGTCGGCTCTGAATCGCTATTTGAGTTTTGCGCGGGAATGTATGTAGTAATCCATGTCCAACTTCCATTTCATTTGGTGTTCAACCACACAGACGTTTTAGAGAATGTATCACGTGACTTGTCATATCAAGTCAGGTTCCAGAAACCACTTATTTAGTTTTGGAGCCGTGTTTTGTACAAAATTGTAAAGTTTTTTCGTATCTACTGATTTTAGTAGGATTTTGGAGGCGTCTCTAACTTGTTTGTGCTTCATTTCTTGGCCGTGAAATATCGAAACACCTTAAATATCCTATAAGATGTTTCGAAGTCTACTAGTACATTTGAGGATTAATTAACTGGATTTTCCACAAATAATCCCTAACTTTACTTAAAACAGAATGCAAATAACGTTTTGTTTAGACACGATAGCATGTCAGTTCAACGGACAAAATAGAAACACTGTAATTCTACAGTTTTCCGAAAAAGCACGCGAAAAAAAATAAAAATAAAACCTAAAGAAATACAGAAAAAAAACAGTGCAATAATCAAGAATTTATTAACCATGTTTAAAAATACTTTTTCCTAATAGTTTAAGAATATAATTTTTTCTTCTATACACTTTTATTAAATTTAGTATAATGAAGGTATTAAAGCGCTACTTAAACAAAATTATAGCGTAAATGTAATTTGTGTTAATGTGAAAAGAAAAGCATTTATTCTGAATAAAATTACAATAAAGTATTATTTTTATGCGAATTAAATAGTTTCGTCGTAATTCTGAATTTTTTCTTGGTGGCGAGGCGTACAACTTATACAGAAAAAAAATAAGACAAAGATTTGTTTTTAAAATAATAAAAAACTTAAGATACCAACCTACGTTTAAATTACTTAAGTAAGTATTTGTTATTTGTTGTATAAAAAGAATCTGTAAATAAATACAAAAAACAAAACACCCATACCGATGGTTCGGAAAATGTACTTTAATGCACAAACTGACTGATTGAATAGTTGTCAGTCAAAGCGAGATATCAGAATTATGTCCTTTTTGTACATCTGTATAAAAAATAATCTAAAAGTTAAAAGAAAAAATAATCTAAAAGAAAAAAATAAAGAAAATTCCTTTTGAAAAAAATGTTCACACAGGAAAACGGTATGATTAATATAATTAAATTTTATATTTTTTTTATTCATCAAACACGTTTTATTTAAATAAAACAACTCCTGAGACGAGTGAATTTCAAAATCACGCTAAAAATTAAAAATCAGTTTTTTAAGTGTAGTTTCTTTTTCCTTTTTTTTTTTTTTGTTCAATCTGAAAGAGAACTTATTAAATGCAAGTATGAATTTGCAAAAATATCTTTATTTTAATTTTTGTTTTTATTTTATTTATTTTTATTTTTATTTTCATTTTGTTTTTGTTTTTTGTAAGATGTGGTTTAAATTTTCCGTATATCTACACTTGATATTAAATAATTTTTTACTGAAATAATATCTGTAGGGATATTTCTTTATAAAACTGTAAAAACAAAACTGGACGAACACTCCCCAAATTAAAACGTACACACTAGATAGCGGGGATGAAACAAACCTCATAAAAACATTTCCCTAAAGTAACTTATTCAGTAAGAATAAAAAGTAAATCATTAATGAATATGTACTGAAAATTTCGTTTGATTTGGTGGATAATTCTGTTTTGTGGGGGAAATATTTTAAAACAGGGTTAACGATTTTTTTGCTTTCATTTCGGGAAAAAAAGCATTTATTTTGGTGAAAGTTCTTGGTTTCATGATTATAAAGTTATTGTTTTTAAAATAAACGTACGAAATCTGTTTGTTAATAAAAATATTTGTCGTGACAGTCTTGTTTAACTTATAACAGTTAAAATAATATTTCTATAATCAGTTTATTAAAATAATAATAATTAAAATAATTATAAATTTCATGATTAAATGGAGTTCATTGTATTTAGGTATAAAAAATTAAAATATTACTATTTTACAAAAATAGTCACCTATTTGAAAAATGTATACTAATGTATGTTCCCTATAACTTTTTTCTTACCGACAAACCTAAGTTATAATTTTATTTACTATGGAATTTTTCTTAATAAAAAAGAACTGACTTTTTTTCTACATTCGTATTATTAATGACTCAGATTTTTTTTCTTCATAGCCACATCACGTCGAAACATTGGTTCCCGTACGATCACCGAAGTTAAGTAATGTCGAGCCTGCTTAGTACCTAGATGGGTGACCAGGTGCTGTAAGCGTGAATATGTTGATAGTGTAATGGATAATAGCTCGGAATTGTTAATCGGAGAGCCGAGTTCCAATTCCTGTTGGGTTCGTTAAATTCACTTAGGCGCAAATACTCTTGGGAAATGTATACATCCACCTCTTCTTCCCTCTGTTATGGGATAATTAGTAAGACTTGTATTACTATGCCAGTATCTCAAAAAAAAATCTTACAATCTAAAAATATTTTCTGGCTTTAAATAACCTGAAAATGGTTGATAAGCCGTAGAGAACAAATCAGACATTTTCTTTCTTTCTGTCTTCTTTTATGTACTATGTTCTTTACAGTATGTGGGTAATAATGTCTTTTCATATCTTTATTTTATTAACCTAAGTAACACTTTGCTCCTTAGGACCATTTTTATTTTTGTGGTTTTGTTTTCTCATCCATTTAATCAAACTCATTTTTAATTCGTTTCTCGAACTTTCAGTATATCTTGTTAATGTTTAATTCTCCAAGTCTTCTTTACTCATTATGTGACCTAGAAATTTTAAGTATTTGTTTTTTGTTGTTTTTGTTTTTTGGGTTTTTTTTTCTTCTTGTTGTATATATGTTTTTTTTTTTTTGGTGGGGTGTAGTTCCTACTTTCCTCAAAACTTCTTAATTTCTAACATGTTCTGTTCATAATACTGTCAGCATTCGTCAGTAGAACCACATAAATCTATTCTCCACCTATAAGTAAACTATAATATTCAATGCCATATAGATTAGGTGTTACATGGCAGGCTAACACTATTTTATTTTTTTGATAAAGAAAATTTTCCAGGTAATGTTCCCATGCTGGATATGCTCCAATATTGTACTAGTACTCAAGATGGTTGTTATTTATTGTCTGCTCATTAAATGTTTTTTTTAACGAAACAATTGAATTAAATTTCATAAATATCAAAGGCAAATTCATTATTATGTTCGAATTAAAAAAAAAAAAAAGGATTAAAAAATTTGACATTTTATAGTTGTTTATCCGGATCTCATTTTTTTTAATGGAAAATGTTTATCTATTACTTTTAATAGTCGAATTCGTTCTCTTTTTCTTGCTCTTACTGTCTATAATTTTCACTTCACACAAACTTACCAAGCAAAATTGTACCCAGTCGACTAACGTTTTACGATTGCCTATTCGAAGTTTCCTCTGTAAAAAATCTTGGGGTACTTTGTTAACCAAGTTAAGTTTCACTATTGATTCTAATTTCAAGTCGAACCATCAAATCAACATTTGTATCACTACATTATACGAATTATCAGTAATTAAAAATATCCCTTGTCACTCTTTCTGCTGTCAGTCTCTACCGCCATCTTGAATATTACTGTTTTCCTACTACAACTGTGCAGTGGTCTCAGTAGACGAGCCACAAACCAAATTTTTCCTATTTTTGAATCTAGTTTGACATATTTTACATATTCCGATGCAACTTCTGATTTATGTGCCACATTTTCCATCGTCTGTTACTCCATTACCAAAACGTCCACATCTACTTCATTTTGATGAGCCCGATATGTAACAAGGACTTTTTTGCTACTAACAACCATGCATTCTGTTTTGTTTAACTAACTTGTATAAGAGTTTGTTTTGATTTTTTGTTTCTTTAACTTGCCATCAAAACTGCCATCTGCGTAACATATTTTGTTATGCTTGTTGACTGGTGATCAATTCTGGTAGGTCTCCTCAACCTCTTAGAATCTGTACAGGTTAAATAAGTCACATACGAAAAAAAAAAGAAACCACGGAAAAACGGAAGAAAAAAAACGAAAAAAAAAACACCCTTGTCAAAGGGAGATCAGTCTGGACAAATTTAAAGCAGTTATTTCCCTTGGCACCTTATTGGCCGTCATAAAAATTTCAATATTTACGACTTTAGACATGTCTCTTGAGCTGAATGTTGGTCAGTCAGTCAGTCAGTTACGTGCCATGCGTGATACACGCTTAGGCGATTATGTATCTTTCAATACATGACTGACGAGACATATTTTTTCCCGCAGTAGGTTGCCATCCAAGACTATAAAACCCGGTCTGACCTGCTATTTACCCATAGCTGGAGAGAGAAGAAGAGCATTCGTACCTTTCCCAAGGTTATTAGCACGTAAGTGAATGTAATGGATTTGACTGGAATTCGAACTCGGCTCTCCGATTCTTCAATGCGAGCCATTATCCATTACTCTACCGTGCCTCCATAAGATGATTAATCGAAATGTGTTCGTCAGCAATATTAATAAAAAGCATTTAAATTATAAAACAATGATTATAATTTTATCTTTTAATATTTAAGCTATGTTCCCTCTTAGAAAGCAGCAGCACATGAAATTAAAACATTATTAATCAGCAACTGAAATGTTTTATTGCAGAATTTCCAATTCGTTTTTATAATGAGCCATAAACACTAAAAACATTGGAACGTTTCCTATTCTATCGCAAAAAAATAAGTTGGAAATATTTTTCCTCTTGCATCAAATCTTTTGATATTTAAAACAAAATGTTCTGAATTGCAAACATACATACATATACCCACTTTTTATATATATTACTTTTTAGTTTATATAATACTTTTGTTTATGCATACTTCAGCGGAAGAAATGCATTCGGCTAAGTTTTCCCTTTGTCTTCATATTAGTGGTGGTCTGTCGAGTTCAACAATGACATCTATATGCAAGGGGAAACTCGAAGGTGATTGTGATGACCAATGCCCCGGGGGACGGCCGTAATGGAGAAAGGAAACCTGGCCTGGATGTTTAGGTGCTTCTACAACTGATACAACCATCCAGTCCGATCCTATGTGCACTCAAAGTATATATATATATATATATATATATATATATATATATATATTACAGGTAATCGATCCGTTGATATATAATCCGGGTGAAACTTATATTAATTATTAATTTTTTACAGAAAAAAAAAAAAAAATTACCTGAACATGGGATACTCTATTTCAAGCCGTTCTATACGCGGCTTTCATCAGCCCTTAAGTGTCTGTCTCGGAGCATTGTTTTAAATTTATTTTCAATGTCAGTCCTCCTCTGGTATGGGTTTGTGTTAGCGATTGGTGGGGGCGTAAGGTATTTTATCCTGGAATAAATCATGCTGTCCAACACACTTATATGCGTACATATCTTCATACATACATATATGTACATTTACCTGTCCATACATATATGGCACTATACGCACACATACACCCCCATATATACACATGTATTTTTATGTAATTTTGAATCTATTTCTATGTCTACATTTCGTGAATGTTGCAGACTCGGAGACAGACACTTCGGGGCTGATGATAGCCGCGTTCAGAACGGCTAGAAATAGACTATCCCATGTTGAGGTGATTTTTGTTTTTTGCTGTAATATATATATATATGTGTGTGTGTGTGTGTGTGTGTGTGTGAATACAAAAAGGATCTTATACACAACAATTTATTAAATGCATTAGTTATGCATAGAAATAAATTCAACCACAACTTTAATCTAAAGAAGGCTACACTTATTAAAAGAGAAATTAACTTAGGTGGAAAATCCTCGAGCGTGCCAATATTGAATCTTATCAAATTATAAATATGAACTGAAAATGATATTTTCAAATATCTTGTATCCCAAGACAACATACATAACTATAAAAATATTTAAAAAATTAAAAGAAAACTGTTAAGTTTATAACCTCCTATTGTATTTATATATATATATATATATATATATATCGGCATACATCCCTCCCTCCCTCCATCAACGGTTGCTTCAAACCTTTTCTCTTTCTCCTTTCTTCATCATCGTTGCTACCCTTTGAGCAACAACTCAACACTTTCAACGTTAAGGCACGTGACCATTTTGGAATGGACATCCATTCAAAGTGCTTTGACGGTTGGCAATTTGCCGCCAGTCAAAGGTCACGTAACTTACCGGATACCCGCCATTAAGTATCCACGTACGTTTTCCGTCTCTTCCATTTCACCATACGGCTCAAACACCTAAACTTCGGTAACAGACCTTTTATATTCTACTTCTTTGCCTGAAGTTACCTTTTATCATCCTTGACTCGATCCTAGCCCAACTTTCTGACTTTCCTACATAATACGAGATTCTCTTCCAAAAAGGAAAAGCAATAAGCATTCGTCACGAACTCTTCCAGAATCTTCACCTGGCAACAGCGACAGCGAAATTCTACGTATTTACAATTACATCCATTCTCTACCGTTGCTAAGCTTGCCGAGAACTATTGATATCCTAAAGGAGTAATCAACTACATTTGTACGTATGACACAAGGCCATACAAAAAAGAAACCACACTGGGCGACCAGGCTTACACTACAGTTTGCTGACCTCGACGTGATCTGACAAGTTTATACTCTAGCAATATGCCCAACATCGAAAGCAACGAGAGCAATGGCTTGACAAACACTTCAAGTTCGTCCCGCCTCAAGTTCAATGACGGGAATATCAAAAACTGGTTTATTCATCTAGAGGCCATATTTCAAGTTTGGAAAATAACTGCACAGAAGCAAAAACAATTTTATCTCGTCGCCGCAATAGTTGATGAGATATCCGACTTACTGGAGGCAATTCCAGATGATGACCCCTACTCTCGTCTAAATGAGGCTATTTTAAAACGAACAGGTCGTACCGATGAGCAGTTGATACGCAAGCTTTTCCATAACATAACCAGAGACGAGTGGACCCCGTCACAATTCTTACGCTTTATGCGGAGCAGACTAGGGAAGCATGAGATGTCAGAGTTGATTCTATGAGTTTCTGGTTAGATCGCCTTCCGACTACGATCACACAAATACTAGCTCCCATGGGTGAACTCACTCCGCTAAACCAGCTAGCTGACAAAATTTTCTCTCAACCATCAGCGAAAATTCGATGGAGTCAGCCGAAAATCGGACTCTGCTACAATTAGAAAATATGATCGAAGACTTACAGTGTTAGATCCGAGACCAGTCAGTAAGGACGAACCGACAAAGAGCCGG